TATATATATATATGTATATATATATATATATGTATCTATAAATACATATATGATATAATATAATTTCCCTCTCTGGCGTTTATATCTTGTCCTTAGTTTTTCTACATGAGTTATTATACTTATCTTATTATACTTACCTTGTGTGAAATCATTAATGTATAATCTTCTATGTGCTCATGGTTCATCAGGAGGGTGGTTAAATGACAAGCAAAGCATGTCTTTAAATTATACCACTCAGTAGAATGAAGACATTTATTTAGAGTATTGTTAGTGAGAAAAAATTCAATAGTCTATAGAATATAATGAAGTTAAAAAGCTAGATAAAATCAGCTGAAACGATAGTAATTGTAGAAGAGAATAGATGGCTGTGGGTGGGTAGATGAAGAGGGGTTAGCTTATCTTGATTTAAGGTCAGCAGGGAGTTGGAGATTATTGATGATTCATTGAGTGACTTGTTTCCCCTCCAAACATGTTGTAATAGGAAACTTAATGAGGAAGACTGGTAGAAATGATGATGCCAATGTAGAACAAAGTTGGTTAGAGAAAATTCATGCTACTGAGTTTTCAATGGGTATTCTGGAAAGGGATTTATTTCCATCAGTGGGGATAATGTGAACTTGTCATAAAATTCATAAAACCATCTTTTTCAGTTTGTAGTAGGAACTTCTGTAGCATGTTAATTGAGGTATTTCAGGCAACGGTGGAGCCTTTGGTTTTATTTGATCTCTCACTATTGCTGCTATGTAGCTTCCATTAATAAAAGTTATGTTGTAGTTAGGACTAAATGGAGCCTTAAAGGAAAATTATCTTCTAGGTTTTTGAAGCCAGTAGAGTGTTCTAATTATTATGTTAACATCAGGATATTTCTTGCTAAGAAGCTCACATTTCTTTGAAAAAATTGATTTGATTGTATCAATATGCTTTAAAACTAACAGTCTGTGTCTTCTGAGCAGGGAATTTAATCCATTTACATTTAGGGTTGTTACTGAAAGGTTTTGTCTTACTCCTGGTATATATCATCAATTTTCATTCAGATGTTTTAAACTTCTTTTCTTTCTTTTCCTTTTATTGTTTGTCTTTGGTGTTTATTGATTTTTGTAGGTGGGAACATACAGTTTCTTTCTTTCTTTTTTGCATTTTTGTTCTACCAGTGAGTTTTCTTCTTTCTTTTGTATTCATGGTAATGATTATCATTTTTTGGATTCCAGATGTAGGATTCCCTTGAGGATTTCTTGTAGGGCTGGTATTGTGCTGGTGAATGATGGAGTTTGAATGTATTGTCTTCCCAGAACTCATGTGGAAATCTGATCCCTAATATGGCAGTATTGGGAGGTGTTTGAGTCAAGGTGGCAGATCCTTCATGAATGGATAATGTTCTCCCTGAGAGGTGGGGTTAATGAGTGAGTTCTTGCTTTATCAGTTCCTGCTAGAGCTGGTTGTTTAAAAGACCCTGGCACTTCCCCCTCCCCTTTCTTCCTCTCACCATGTGATCTGCTTGTACCCACCGGCTGCCTGCTGCTTTCTGCTATGAGTAGAAGCAGCCTGAGACCCATGCCAGATGCAGCTGTCCCAGAATTGTAAGCCAAATAAACCTCCGTTCTTTATAAATTACCCTATTTCAGGTATTCTGTTATAGCAACACAAGATGGACTAATACAGTGAACTTCTGTAGTTTTTGTTTGTCTGGGAAATACACTATTTCTCCTTCATTTCTGAAGGATAGCCTTGCTGGGTATAGTATTCTTGGCTGGCAGATTTTTTCTTTTAGTATTTCGTATATATCATCCTATTCTCTTTTGGCCTGTTGAGTTTCTGTTGAGAAGTGGGCTGTTAGTCTGATGGGGGCTCCCTTATAGGTGAGTTGATGCTTTTCTCTTGCTGTTTTTTGATTCTCTCTTTGTCCTTGAGTTTTGTCAGTTTGACTATAATGTGTCTTGGAGAGGACCTTTTTGATTTGAATCATGTCTCTTCCTATACCGGGAATTTTTCCACTATTATTTTGTTAAATATATTCTCAATGCCTTTTCCTTTCTCCTCACCTTCAGGAACATGCATGATTCTGATGTTTGTGCAGTTAAGGTTGTCTGCTTCTCTCTCAGATTTTCTTAATTTTTAAAAATTGTTTTTGTGGGGGCCGACCCGGTGGCACACTGGATGGTGCGCCGCTTGGGAAGCGCGGCGGCGCTCCCGCTCAAGGGTTCGGATCCCACATACAGACCGGTTCCCGCTCACTGGCTGAGCGAGGCGTGGGAGCGACACCGAGGGTTGCAATCCCGTTGCCGGTCCCCGGTTCGGTACGGGGGCAACACTGAGGGTTGCGATCCGTTGCCGGACACGGAAAAAGACAAAAGACAAAAAAAAAAAAAATTGTTTTTGTGGGTTTTTTTTTTTTTTCTTTTTTTTTTGTTGGTTTGCGTGAGTTATTTCAAAGAGACTGTCTTCAGGACCAGCAGTTCTTTCTTCTGCTTGCTGTAGCCTGCTTCTTAAACTCTCCTTTGTATTTTTTTATTTTATTGAATGACTCCTTTAGATCCATGAGTTCTGCTACATTTTTTTTCCTAAGTATTAATCTCTTTGTTTATATCCTCCTTCATATCCTGAATAGTTTAGCTCAGATCATTGTATTGTTTGTATCTTCTTGTATCTCATTGATTTTTATGAAGATTTTTACTCAGAATTCCTTTTCAGTCATTTCAAGGCTTTCTTGCTCTATGGGGTTTGGTACTTGAGCATTGTTGTATTCCTTTGGTGGACTCATATTTTCTTTTTTCTGTATTGCCAGTATCTCTACATTGATGTCTAGTCATCTGGTAGAGCAGTCGCTTCTTTTATTACTCTTCTTCCCTGGACTCTGCTGATGACTCTACTGTGTCAGAACCATTGAGTGGTTGATGATCTGTTTGCATAGCAGCAGTAGCTACTGCAGCTGCTATTATGGTAGCAGGCTGCCCTTGTGGCAGTGGCAGCTGTGGTGATGGCATTGGTGGGCTGCCCACGTGGCAGCATTGGCTCTAACAACAGTGAGCTGCTTGCATGATGAAGTTGGCTGCCTGGTGGTACCAGTGGTGGCAGCAATGCAGCAGTGGTGGTTGCAGAGCCGTCTGCTTGGTTATGATGTCCACAGTGGCAGCCTGCACAGCTATAGTGCCCACAGTGGCAGTGGGGTTACCTTGTGGTGGTGGCAGTGATGTCAGTGGCTGTAACTGCCTCCCTGGTGTCCACAGTGTCCTTGCCAGCAGTGGGGTTACCTTGTGAGGGTGGAAATGGTGCCGGTTGTTTCAACTGCCTCCCTCACATCCGCAGTGTCTTTGGTGCTCTTCATGGTGATAGCAGAGTTTCCTCATGGGGGTGGCAAGGGCACCGGCAGCTGTAACTGCTTCCCTCACATTTGCAGTGTTCTTGACAGTGTCCTTGCTGGCAGCAGGGTTATTTTGTGGTGGTGGCAGCTGTCTCCCTGTGTTTGTAGTGTCCTTGGCAGCAGTGGGGTTACCTTGTGGAGGCGGCAGCAGCGCTGATAGCTGCAGTGCCACTGCCTCCCTCATGTCTGCAATGTCCTTGGTGGCAATGAGGTTACCTCTCTCACGTTTGCAGTCCTTGGCGGCAGCAGCGCTAATTCATGGTGATGGCAATGGCAGCAGTGGTTGCAGCTGCCTCCTTCAAGTCTGTGGAGTCCATGGCTGCAGTGGCTGGCAACCCACAGGACTGCTTCTCTGTGGCGAGTTGCTCTACAATGCATGATGGTTCTGGGACCAGACAATGGCCTGGCAACAGTGGTGGCACTGGCGATGGGCCCTTTTCAATCTCTTTTTTTTTTAACTTAATATCATTTTATGAATATTTTCCATGTCATTAAATGATATTCTGCAGTAGAACTTCTGATATTTCTTCTTTAGAATATGAATACCCCATGAAATGTAAGTGATCTGCGGATAGATAAATTTGAGAATTAGTTTATACTCTCTTCCCTTGTCGGAATACCTGGAAACATATTAACCAAGGAAGAATTGCAGCTAAGACACCTATTTATCATCATTTATTCCCACATTTTATAAATTTATTTGATGTGGAATCCTTTTTTCATCCCATACCTATTAATATCTTTTGGAATTTGTATTCTGTAGAACACACTTTAGGAAATGCTCTTCTTCAAAATTATATAATGGCTGCATAGTATTTCATTGTCTGAATATACTATAATTTTTAATTTATTATAATGTGATGAATATCTTTATAAATAATCTATGTGTATATTCATGATTCTTTTTCTAAAAAGTAAAGTTACAAGATCAAAACGTCTACTCCAGTATATTTCTAAGTTCATTTATACCACCAAAAGGTCTGATGTGTCTCATCTATTTTGAATATTTTACCCATATTGATATTTGTGACATCTTTTGACAAGCAGTGATTGTGTTACTGATTACATTTTTATACTGTTTTTATATATATTTGTAAACAATATCGAGTATACATATGTTTGTATGTTTTGTTTTACATATGTTTATATGTTTTGTTGGAATACAAAACATACCAGGAGCGTCTAAATTTTTTTAACAATTTATTTATCACTTATTAACTAAGTAGATATTTAATTATGAAAGGTTTTTCCTAAACGTCTAAATCACTTTGTAAATAACCTTGAATGATTTGAAAAAACAGTTATGTAATAAAATCTGCAATTGCATAAACTAATCAAAATGTATTGGATTCATTACTCTTCTCTTTAAATGTTGTATATAGTTTTAAAAACTTATGTACAATTTTAATTAGCTATAGAGATGATTAGAGCTGATATGAACTAGATGCAATTACAGACAAATGTGCAATTCTTATATTTTATTTCATTACATAAATGTAGAGACATATATACAGTAAGTTTTTTAAGTTCTGTGTTGACTAGTCAGTAAAACGTAGACGGGCATTTAAATCCACTTTCTATTTCATTCTGTTTTACTAATTATTTCCATTTTAATTATTGCAGTGGGGTCTGATGAACTGGATAGCTACATGTATCAGACAGTGGGTCATCATGCCATTGACTTGTATGCAGAAGCGATGGCTCTTCCCCTCTATCGCCGAACCATAAGAGGAAGGAGCTTGGATATAGGACAAGTGTATACCAAATGTGAAGGTGATGAGGTTGAAGATCTCTATGAGCTTTTGAAACTTGTTAAGGTATGCAGAGTGACCAATTACATTTATTGAATTTAGTATGTAATTTAGTAAGTTACATTTGCTGAATTATTTAGTAATAAATAATTTACAACTGTTAGTAGTACAATTATTCTTTAAAAGATGTTTTGTCTTTTTTGGTCAGGAAAAAACCCAAAACTGTTAGTAGTTAGCCTTTACATTGAATGATATTTAAAAATAAGACTTTTGATATAGTTTGGCATCTAGGATTGCCAAAAAATGTTTAATTAAGTTTTCTTTTCCTTAGGATATTGGAACTGTGATGGCCATTCAATCATTTTTAACAAATACTTTTTGAATCCCTACTATATGCTTGGCACACAGTGCTAGGCACTAGGCATAGGCCAGTGAATAAATCAGACAAAGGCCTGTTCTGATGGAGCTTACTTTCTAGTGAAAAGGGGCTGATAATAAACAAATAAACAACATGCTTGATGTGAAAAGTACTATGAGGAGGAATGGAAGAGAGTCAAAGTGATAGCAGATGATGTCAGGTGGCGACTGTGGGGGTGGTGTTATGTGCAGTGGTCAAGTAAGATCTTCCTGATAAGGTGAAGATTAAGTAGACCTAAAGAAAGTGAGAGACTAAGCTTTGCTTAAATCTGGTGGGAGCGGTATGAATTAAATTCTTGTCACTGTGTATAAGAGTTTGGCAGCCATCGTATACTCATTGTTAATTTCTCTAGACACAAAATTTAGGAGAGAAAGTGGAGGACTCATCTCTAATAGGTATTACACTCAGTAGATGTTAATTAATGGAGATAATTTTATATTGAGCAATTATCTTTTTGTTCTTATTGGAACAAACTATGTGAATACAATTCAGTATTCTTCCTAAATATGAGTTTTTATCCAATCAACTATAGTCAATTATTATAAGGAATATCTGATGAAACAGGTAATTTAAGCCAATATTTCTTGTATATCTTAACATTTTTTCACAAAGGAAAGGAAGATTTCTGTGTCTTCTTCTACCAAGGGGCATTACATTTCATTTTCTCACTATTCAGAGAGGTTTAGCCTTTTCAGAAGTTATGTCATGAACATGTATCTGAAAATTTTCTAGTCTCAAATAACTACTTCAGTGCTATACTTTCAGTTTGATAGTGATCAAAGCTTAATTTCAGTTAAGGATTTTGATTTGAAAAATATATGAAACACTTAAATTCTTCAAAAGTTTGCTTGATTAAAATAGTTCTTATTTTGTATGTCTGAACATTTTCGTTTTTATATGAAAAGGAAACTGATGGAGAAAACATTTAAGAGTAGTTCCATAATTTACATTTTAGTTATGGATAGCATAATAAGTACTTTTCAAAGGAAACAACAGGGAGTTGGTTTCTTCCCTCTGGGAAGATAAATGCTAGTAACAACCATTTTGATTATCAAACAAGAGGGAAGGCATAAAAGAATTTTGCTTTTAATGGTTTTCCCTCCATAAGGGTGCAGTTAGGAACACTTGACAGCATTCACTTTGAGTTGTGAAATACTGAGTGCAAATCCTGTGTTTTCAAAATTTTTTTTTGCAGGTTACAAAGAAACAGGACATTAAATTATTATTTTTTTTTGTCTTTGGCGGCTGGCTGGTACAGCAAACTGAACCCTTGGCCTTGGTGTTACAAGGCCGTACTGTAAGTTTTTATTATAAATCAGTGTTACAAAATCGTGGGACTCACACTAGAAGTAATTAATTTGCTTAAAAATCATAAACTTGTTAATTTTAGAGAAGCTCTGTGATAATAACAACCCTCCAAGAAAGGGAAAGGAAGTAAATTACTAATCAATTTAATTAAAAATTAGGCAGATTAGTAGTGATTAAGAAGAAATTTCCTTTTCAATTCATGCTGTCTTTGAAGAAATGGATGCCTTGCCATTACCTTTATAGTAACTGTCAGTTATGACATAATTTAATGCTAATGTTAAATCTTGACAACTTCTGCTTTGGAAATTGGTACATGATAATTATAACTATAGTCGAAAGAAATTTTATCAATGTGTCTGGAACTAAATAGTTTCCTCTTTTCCTGTGTAGAAATATTAATTTTACTATAGGATCTTTTAAGGGCATAAATATCAGAAATATATTGCTTTTATGGAAGAGATTATATAACTAGGCTTTATAGTTAAATCCATTTATGAAACACTGGTGCAAAGATTCCAATAGAGGTTTTACATATTCTAATAAATAATTGATTCATTGTGGAAATAAACAAATGTAGAAAAGCTATCATTTTTCAACTTAGTCTTGTTTTAAGAAAAGGGTAGAACCATACTTTTTAATGCTTTGAGTGTTAATCGAGTATTGAAAGCATTTAGATTTACTTTCATTCTAAACATTTATTTATAGCAGGTTGCAGTTTTGTGACTTTGTCTTTTTTGTTTTTGTAGCTCTTTCCCCCCAAAATATTAGAAGTGATTTTTGAGTTGGAGATGTTCCTTTTTGCAAAGAGTTCAATTTACTAATGCTGAAAAGTAGGAAACACTTGGAAGAATTTACAGAGTTATAGTTTTCCTAATTTTGTAGAAGTCATGGAAACTAATAGAAATATAATAAGCCATGTTTATGTCTTGCAGATTACCAGGTGACTATGACAACTAGAGATATATATCTCAAGCTGTTTGCAAAATATCTGGTTTTCATGTGCCTAATCTTTCTTTCATTCTTTAGAATTTCTTTAATATTGGAATATAACTTCAGTTCTCATCAAGTTTAATTTGGCATATAGACAACCTGTATTATTTCCCGAAAATATAATAATTTTTAAATTCTGGGTGTGTTTTCTTTTCAAGTCCCATAAGCAATGTAATTGTTACTGAAAGATGCATGTAAGCACCATATCTCTAGAGAAAATATATGTAAGGATCAACTTTTTTTTTCCCTCTCTACTGGGTTGGAGCTACTTCTTATTGGATCTGATGTCTTCCTCTTCCTTGGTTTATTCTTTCATTTAAATGGAATCCATCTTTAAGAAACTGCCTTAGAGAGGGTACTTTCAATCTTTACGTTTTGAAAATGTTCCTATTCTGCTCTCACATTTTCCCTTATACATTGGTTGAATTTAAAATTTTAGGGCGAAAGTCATTTTTTCTCACATCATGGAAAGCTTTGCGGTCCTCAGGACTTTTGCTGATGATGGTGTCATTTTTGTTCCTTTCTAGGTGACTTGTTTTTCCTCTCTGTTAGCTTTTATGATTGTGTCTTTGTGCTTGGTGTACTGAAATGTCACAATAATGCTATATTAAACATTGAAAGTTGCTTCTCCTGCATTCTTTTCACAACTCTCAATCTGACTTCTTTCTCTCATTGATGTTTCAGGGATAGGCATGTAATCCAGGTGAAAGCCAGTCACCTTCTTCTGGCCATAGTAATTAAACCAGGGATGGTTTCATTAACCTATGTTGGTTCTAATAAAATGAAACCTAGTATGATGGATGGTTGGCAGCAGGAGATAAGCTCTTTCTCCATCTATACAGACAGGTATGTGGATTTGAGACCTAGAACTGCTATAGCCTTTTTTTTTGGAGGGAAGAAAACTTGATGTCAAATCTGACACATAAAAAATGGCAGAGTAAGGGGCCGGCCCGGTGGCGCACTGCTACAGTGCGCCGCTTGGGAGTGTGGTGGCGCTCCCGCCGAGGGTTCGGATCCCACATACAGACCGGTTCCCGCTCACTGGCTGAGCGAGGGGCGGGCGCAGCACCGAGGGTTGCGATCCCGTTGCCAGTCCCGGTCTGGTACGGGCGCGACACTGAGGGTTGTGGTCCGTTGCCGGACACGAAAAAAGACAAAAAGGAAAAAAAAAATGGCAGAGTAAATAGAATTGCAGTGTAAGGATGACTCTGGGACATCCTCTTCCACTATTTATTTAATAATTTGCTCCTTTTGATTTTCTCTGGTCCCTTTTCCCGGTATTCTCCACTAGTCAGATATTAGGCCTTCTAGATTGATTCTTCATATCTCTTGTCTTTTCTCACATATTATCCATCTCTATGTCTTTTTGTTGTACATTCCGTGCAATTTCCTTTTAAATTTCCCTATGTTATGGTTGATTTTTTTTTTTAATTTTAGCAATCGTATTTTCAATAGCCAAGAACTTTTCTAGTACATTGATTGTTCCTTTTTTGTCACAACGTGTTATAGATGCAGCATCCCTACATACCTCTTAAAATACAAATAAGAGATTTTAAACATTATCTTTTGTTCTCTGAAATATTACTGTTTTCTTTAGGGGTGCTTTTTCCTATGTTTTCTTCTCCCATGTTGTAGGCTTTTCTCAAATGTCTGGGTTGCCTGTTCATATCTAAGAATAAGGCAAGCGGAAAGCTGCCTGTGAACACCTTTGACTTTAGAGTTTTTCCAGCCTCACATCTTACGTCTGTCACACCTGGAGTTCAGGATAGTGTGGCCTAGTTTGGTTAATTTCTTGGCTTTGTTCTCTTCCACACAAACAGTAGATTATGGCTTCCTCTGCTGATTTGTCAGCTGTCATTCCTTTTTTATCTGCTTTCTGACTCAAGAAATTAATTGAAATCTTTTTTCCATTGGTGGCTTCCTCCTGTTCTCATTTTTGCAGAATCTTACCTTTGCTTTCATTTTAATGGAATTTGTTGATCCAGAAATCTGTGTTAATTTTATTCTAATGGAATATATTTAATATTCTTCCCTAAATTGACTATTTAATTTTAGTCTTCCTCTTTTAATTTTTGGTAGTTTTCTCCTCTCATGTTCTTTTTCCCATTAGGCATCTTATCTTGGTATTAACCATAAATTCTTTAATAAATATTTATATTTTAATTTGAATACAACAATAAATGAATAATTTCCTTTTTTCTATTCTTTTTTAAATGGCATATTTCCTTTTGAAAGAATGGTTCTTTGTAAATAAATGTTTAGTTTTTTGAAAAAATTAGATTTTAATTGAATATTTTTAGAAAACATTAATTGCCTCTTTATTTTCTTTATATTCCTTAGAATTATTTTG